CTAATGTCACCAACGTCCTGCTGAGGTCGGCAGTTCGCCATCTTGTATGCAAACAGGTTCCCTTTGCAAGGATAAGTGGCAGCACAGAGTCCAGCTATCTAAATACACCCAGCTCACACTCACACCCAGCACTCACAAGGTGCAATGCAGGAAAAGGTTAAAATTCTGCATATTAATTAAATCAGTTCACTTTTAATTTTTTGGTCTTCTTTCAATGAATCCAGCAACTAGTGCTGGATTTTGAATTCGCCACCATTCTGACTTTGGCTTCTCCTACATGGCAACAGCTACTGAGGCTCATGGGTATTGTAGTATTTATGTGAATCTTATGATAGAAATAACAAATGAAAGATGATAGAATAACTGAAACTGGTGGTCATAACAAAAAACATGATTGTTACATTATCTGGTAGAATCCTGTGTTTTCTGTGTTAGGCAGTGTTGAGGATATTAATGAAGGAAAAAAATGAAATTAGTAATACAGAGGGGAGGAAAACACTCCTTCCACTTTGCAACTCTATGATCAGGTCTGTGGGAATGGAGCATTTCAGCTGAGACTATATTATATATAATATGTGTATAATACAGCAAAGGTAGAATATCTACTGTGTGGATCTTTAGAGAACGAGGATAAAGCAAAAATATAGAGCAAATGGTTCATTGTGGATGGGGAGGGAGGGGGCATGTGCAGACAGGGTGTTTCCTGTGTCTGTGGTCGTCATAATGTGTCTGTGACAAGGGGACAGGGTTGCCTGTATTTATGAAGGTTGGATTTTTTTTTTTTTTTTAATTGGTGGGGGGTGCCAAAGCTACAAAGCTGGGCAGAACAAATGAACTGGATGGCAGAACAATTTGGTATTTTTAAAAATAAAAGCTTGGCATTACAATGCCACCATGTGGCCATATGATGCAAGTTGTTAACAAGGATAAAACATGTTATTTTAATGTTATTTTTTATTTTGAAATCATATTATTAATAAAGTCATTAAGTACTATTGTCCCAGTGTGTCCGATCATTGACCGCAGTGTGGCCTGGCTGTGGCTGTGTGTGGAGGGTTCATGTAGAGTTCATGTGATGGTCAGTGCAGTCTGCGGGGTTAAAAGGACAAACAGCGGCCAGGCAATTATACTCATGATATACTGACCATCTATTGGGGGAACTGCAGGGATAATGTTTATTGGCAAAGGCTGTTCAATAAATTGTGTTTTGTGACTCAGCTCTGCTCTGAGAAATCTAATTGGCTTTTTTTCACAGCAGAGATTTTGACATGTCATGGTAGGAAAAGCACGGCTGTGAATCATCAGATGATGGCTGAATTCCATTTAGCTGCTTTGGTGTCAGGGTCCTGGTATTGTGCATGCTGGCTCGCTGTTATGATTTACAGGGATCCTTAAATGTATATATGTATATATTTAAATATTTTTTTCTTTTTTTTGTCGACCACTAGATTACCTTAAAGTCTCAATATAATAAGTCTATAATGGCTTTTATTTGGCCAAGTATTACAAGGAATTTGTGTAAAAAAGGTAGAAATTAACAGCATTTTTTAAACAAATTGTTACTTTATAAGAAATTATTCAGACCTAAACTGATATTATCTAGAAATCAGAGTACAAACAGGCAGCTGCAGCAGACATTGTTTTTTGTATTTGCAACAATACTTGATATTTTTGTAAAAATGAACATAATACATTGAATTACTTAAGTGTTTATTCCACAGATGAATGAAGTTGGTCAACCAGTTTCATACTATTTACTGTGAGGGGGGAATCAGGGGGGTTGTTATTGACTTTGTGAAGTGGTGTGAGGAAAATTGACTGGTCCTGAACACCAGCAAGACTAAGGAGATGGTGATTGATCCCCGGCGGAAATCATCAGCACTCATTCCGGTGAGCTTTCAGGGCTGTGTCATTGAAATTGTGGACACCTTTAAATACCTGGGGGTCCACCTCAAGAACAAAATGGGTTGGACTGAAAACACTGATGCCCTGTACAAGAAGGGCCAGAGCCACCTCCACTTTTTGAGGAGGCTAAGGTCCTTTGGCATGTGCAGGGCACTCCTTCAGACTTTTTATGATACTGTAGTGGCATCTTCTGTTTTTTACGCTGTTGTGGGCTGGGCCGGAGGCAGCACGGACAGGGACAGAAAGAGACTAAACAAGCTGGTCAAGAGAGCTGGGTCTGTCCTGGGCTGCCCCCTGGATTCCATCGAGGAGGTGGCGGACAGAAGGATGCTGGTAAAACTAACATCCATCATGCACGACCCCTCCCATCCCCTGCACCACACAGTAGAGGCTCTGAACAGTTCCTTTAGCACAAGACTGTTACATCCCCAGTAAC